GTCTCAAAGACGGACTGTCTGTGTACACATCAAACCACCAAACAACAAACAAGTCATGACAAACAGTATTAATGTAGTCTTTTTTTATGATTTTTTTTCTCGTCTAATTTCTCAATACAGAGTCCTGTCCTGCAGTACCTGTATTATTTGGCCCAGGTGCCCATTGCCATGTCTCCGCTCAGCAATAACAGCCTGTTCCTTGAGTATTCCAAGAATCCCCTCAGGGAGTTCCTGCAAAAGGGCCTGTGTGTGTCTCTCTCCACAGATGACCCGTTACAGTTCCACTACACAAAGGTCAGGGAGAGCAGTTACTGGGAATGATGTGCATGGAATCAAACACTTCTGACACTGAATGAGTTAATTCTTAATCTATTTTGAGTGCAGTCATTTAGAGCAGTCAGGTGATGTGATTTATGTTGTTTATGTACCTGCAGGAGGCCTTGATGGAGGAGTATGCCATTGCAGCACAGCTGTGGAAACTGAGCACGTGCGACGTGTGTGAGATCGCCAGAAATAGTGTGCTTCAGAGCGGTTTATCTCATCAGGTACTCTCTCTGTCCTACCCGATAAAGCAGGGGGTTTTAATCTTTTAAATAACTTGGGATGCCATATAGTTTTAATATCATATCGTAGGTTCAGATTTACAAATAGTTTCAGCTCGTCTTTCGTTTCCAATAAATAAAAAAGGTGACACCGTGGAACATCCAATGGAAGTAAATGGGGTGAATTTTAAGAAATGTGAGGCTTTTAAGTTAATAAAAGCAGTTACATTTATTCTTCTATTAAATCTTGTTTCTTACTTGATCTGTAAAACTAAGTCATTTTAGAGTGACCATTTAGAGTTTATGGTCATGGTAACAAAGTTGTAAAATGTAATATAACTTTACACAGAACAGAAAAATCATGTTAACATGCATATTGTCTTGTGGCTATACAGTTGAAGCAGTGAGTATTTTAACATTTGTGACCCTGGACCACAAAACCAGTCATAAGGGTAAATTTGAGCTGAATAAATAAGCTTTCCATTGATGTATGGTTTGTTAGGATAGGACAATATTTGGCCGAGATACAACTATTTGAAAATCTGGAATCTGAGGGTGCAAAAAAATCGAAATGCTGAGAAAATCGTATTTAAAGTTGTCCAAATGAAGTTCTTAGCAATGCATATTACTAATCAAAAATGAAGTTTTGATATATTTACGGTAGGAAATTTACAAAATATCTTCATGGAACATGATCTTTACTTAATATCCTAAAGATTTTGGCATGAAAGAAAAAAAATCTATAATTTTGACCCATACAATGTTTTTTTGGGTATTGCTAAAAATATACCCAAGTGACTTAAGACTGGTTTTGTGGTCCAGGGTCACATTTATGAATTGGTCCTATTCATATCCATTGTAAGTACCTCACTGAAGCCCAGATTTATTTTTTAATGAAGTCGAAAATTGAGTTTAACTTGTATTGAACCCAGAATATTTCCTAAGGAAAAATCTTCCAGTGCCAATACCATCCATACGCTAAAGCCCTTTCGTACACAAAAAAGCTGAATGGTTTTCTAGCTTAACCTGACATTTAAATTTCCCTTGCAGGAGAAGAAACACTTCCTGGGTGAGAATTATCTACAGGATGGACCAGAGGGAAATGACATCCGTAGGACAAATGTGGCGCAGATCCGTATGGCATATCGACACGAGACCTTGTGCAATGAGCTCAGCTTCCTAGTGGATGCTGTCAAGTCAGAAGCAGTGGCTGAAAAAGCCTCGTAGACATGGCAGGGTGACAGATAGGCTAGAACATGGGTCCATATGAGTTGACCAGACATCAATATAAAACCTAATCTTGCTACAGGTGATGCACTAAACAGCCATGGAAATGCATCATTCTGGTAGAAAGTCATGAAGCCATGTGTCTTGGTGCCTTATGATGGACATAACCTTTCCCATAGTGCCTTACAGGATGGATATATCCATTATATTTCTCAAATCTGTTTCTTTAAAAATGGGACGTTTTGATCAAATGTTCCTGTGTTTTGCATGGTTTCTGAAAATGATGTTTTGAGGGAGCATACATTTGTTACCTTTTCTAATGAGGAAGTCTTCGGGTTTGTGACTTGAACAATGTGTTCTTTTGTTCAGATAAATGTTTTACGCAGAGACTGGAAGAAAAATTTGCCTTGGTAAACTAGTTTGTGTGCAACCTGAGATTTTGGGGCTGTTATTCTGTCGGGCAAACTATGGGGTGGCGTTTTATCTTTTGTCACAAAATCTTGTGTACTTGACCTTGCACATTTTGTACACCAACAGAGATGGTTAAGCTGTTTTGTTACGGAATAATGGCTTTTGAAAACATGCCTGAGTGCTGAATATGTTCAGCAATATTTGAATATTGCTTTCAAAGTAAAATAAATAAAGAGGTGTCAAAAAGAGCCTTTCATGATGTGACTGTTAATATTTCAGATAAGTAGAAAAATTATTATTTATTTGCTCAACACTGCAGCCCAGTGGAAGTAGTGGGCACTGCTACAGCCTTCAAACAAGAACTAGCTAGAACAAAATATTCAATTTACTTTATTATTCGAGATTTACACAAGAACAGGGAACACCGAACATCCCCGTTCAGTCCATATTTAAAAGAACTCTTCTTTGAAAGAACACTCTCACAAAAGAAAACAGCAACTAGTGCCATTTTCTCCAATAAAACTACTATCATTCAGTCCCATCTCTATAAATCTGAGAATATTGCAAAAAAAAAAAAAAAAAAATGTTTAAACTAGATTAGTAGATCTTGATAAACTAGATGAAATCTTAATAAACTGCCACACAAATTTAGACTTACATATAAAGTTTGATCTATACATATCTTTATAATACAAGTGAATTCCCCAAGCCCACAGATTCACAGTCTCGCTCATACACACAAAAGTGCAGAATGAAAAGTCTGGGATTTCAAACCAGAAAAAATATGAAAAAGTGACTAACCTCCACTGAAAGCGTCAGTGATGCCCTATAAAATAAATCTTAGATTCTCAAATGTTAATCCATCCTAATTATGTTCCATAATAAATGTTATACGAGAGTCATGCCCTATAATTAACAATTGATCCAACTAAGATTATAAATGCAAATCAACTGTACAGTTAATGTTACTGAATCATGTGTGACTGAATTACAGCAACAATACTATTAAACTGCTGCACATGCTGATACTGTGACGCTTATTCAGGTATTACAAGGCCTTTACGGAACAAATGCAATTAAGTGCAATTACTTCACAAACAAGATAAAACGGCAAGTGCAACGAGGAAATGAATTTTACAGCTACATCTTGTCTAGCATTTACCTACATACAGTTCACAGTCACAAGTCTATGGTTTGGTCAAATCAGGTGTTCTAATATGATGCATTAACCTAAAAATAGTTTATTAAAGTCAAAAACTCAGCATTTATCATAAGTTATCATGAGTTATCATTATTAACTCAGCATTTATTTAAACTCAGTTATTGCCTCCAGTGAGTGACACTATATAGTGCAACAAATACCCACAGTCACCCTATGAAATAACTGTTTAAAGAAGGTCATCTGCTATGGGGAGACAGTGAGTATGACAGTGGCACAGTGCTTCATTTTAAGGTCTGTGTGGGTGCCCGGCTTCATCCGCTAGATTGAGAATGTACCCAGCTATATCTTCCTCCGTGGGAGCATCTGACATGACCCATGATTCATTAGCGGCAGTCACCTGAATCCGGCAGACGGGGCAGTTTCGGCTCTGACCGCTCCTATATGAGGCACAGACACACTCATGGCTGATTAAAATGATTTATGGATTTTGGCATTTTTTACTGTCATAATGTTGATCCAAACCTGTTTGACATTTTTCTTTATACTTTCAGTAGGTTTAATTAAGGAAAGGAATCTTGAGATACATGAGTTATATTGAGATTTTATGGCTTTGTTCTGTACGGACATATGGTATTCATTTTATTTGTGTTGGTTTTAAAAAGTTTAACATTTGGTTTGAAAAAACTCTGCAAACCTTGGATTCAGTTCACAAATTTGAAAACTGAACTGGTCACAGTTCTGACCAAAACATTATTCAGATTTTCTGCTTTTGTGTTCCATGGAAGAAAGTATGTTTAGAACAATATGTGAGTGAATGATGACAGATTTAATTATTTAGTTAAACTGATCCATTTAAGAGACAGTCCACCAAAAATGGAAAATTCTCTCATTATTTACTCATCCTCATGTTGTTTGAAATCTGTATGACTGTCTTTCTTCTGATGAACACAAAAGAAGATATTTGGTTCCCATTGACTTCCATTGTATTTTTTGTCTATAAAATGAAAGTCAATGGGAACCAACATCCCTTAAAAAGCTTTTTTTGTGTTTCACAGAAGAAAGTAAGTCATACAGGTTTGGTACAACATGAGGGTGAGTAAATTAAATGATGACAGAATTTTAATTATTTGGCTGATCATGTAATCCATTAATAAATCATGATAATGAATCACAGATTCTTACCACTTGTCAATGCACTTCTGACAGAAGCTGTGTGCACAGGGCAGAATAAGGTCTGCTTTCCCATCCATGCAGATACAACATTCTTCCTCATCAGTCAACTGTTTCACCCTGTTACAGAGCAAATTTTGCTTGGTGAGACAATGAGTCATCTATTATGCATCATTACATCAGGTGCAGATTTGGTAAACAGAACAAATGCAGTCTGTAAAATACCTGCCCATCCACATGCTGGCCTGGCAGGTGTCTTCTGATGACAGCGGTCCAGATGATCCCTCTGCTGCAGCCTCTGAACAAAATACTTCAGCTGCCTGACTGGTGATGTCTTTGTAGAGGTGGATAAACTGGTACAGATTCATAATACGGGAGGCCTCCACTGTTCCATCCTCCTTGTTAATCTACAAGCACACAAAGAGAGCAGTAACAATTGCCATCCCACCCTAGACAAACATCAATCACACATTTCAAATTTGCAGTACAGAGCAAATGACTATATTATTCAGATTGAAAATCATTTAAATATATTCCACCTATAAATTCAGAGGTCTGTAAATTAATCTCACCTTGGTGCACACTATTCTCACAGCAACTTTCCATAACGCTGTTGCGTCAGATCCCGGCTGTACTTCAAACAAAAGATGTTTCTTTTGGCCAGAGGCTAGTTTAGCAGTTCTGTGTATAAAAAAAATGTAATCATATTACCTATCACATCACATCAGACTGGATAATGAAGTGAGTGACGTGACATGGCGCCAAGTATGGTGACCCATACTCGGAATTAGTGCTCTGCATTTATCCCATCCAAAGTGCACACACACAGCAGTGAACACACACACACACACACCGTGAACACACACCCGGAGCAGTGGACAGCCATTTTTTGCTGCGGCGCCCGGGGAGCAGTCGGAGGTTCGGTGCCTTGCTCAAGGGCACCTCAGTCGTGGTATTGAAGGTGGGAGAGAGCGCTGTACATTCACTCCCCCCACCTACAATCCCTGCCGGTACGAGACTCGAACCGTGTAATGTGTATGTCTTCATATTAAACTCCAAACTTAAAAATAAGCAGGAAATATAGTGAGCTCATTCTTACTTTTGCACCTACATAAATACAGTAATACATTATATATATATATGTGTATTTTTATTATTTTATTCTTTAAAAATAAAATTAATTATTAAAAATTCTTATTATTAAAAAAAGTTTAATATTATTGTTTCATTAATATTATTTCATTAACATAAAACCATTGATTTAGGGTTTTAGAGTTTATTAAATTGCGTTGTCATTTTGACAAGTTGTAAAATTCAGAATAACTTTACACAGAGCAGGTTAATAAGAGATTTGTTTCACACCAAAATCATTATAACAAACATACTGTTTACATCTTGTGGCTATACAATTGAAACTGTAAGTAATTTAACAATTATGAATTGGCCATTGCACCATCCCATTGTAAGTGCCTTGCTGTAACCCAGATTGTTGCTTTCTTTAATGATGTAATAAAGTCCTAATATTTCCTACAGAAAAATGTTCCAGTAATAATTTTAAACAGCTTTCAATGATAAATTTAACATCCAAACCTTATGAACATTTTTACTAACATAAGCTCACATTTAGATTTCCCTTGCAGGAAAAGAAACCCTTTATGGGTAAGCATTATATAAAAGAAAGATGGACAAGAGGGAAATTGCATTATACATTTATTTTTTATATATATTATAATATTTACATCATGAGAACTCTCTGAAAATGTTTGCATGGTAATGGATCTGCTACGCTGCTGTAGCATATATAATAACTTGTAGCAGACCTACAGTGGGGAAAATATTTATTCGATCCCCTGCTGATTTTGTAAGTTTGCCCACTTACAAAGAAATGAAGGGTTTGTAATTTTTATGGTAGGTTTATTTTAACGTATAGAGACAGAATACCAACCAAAAAAATCCAGAAAAAAACACATTATATAAAGGTTAGAAATTGATTTGCATTTCAGTGAGTGAAATAAGTATTTGATCCCCGGTGGTATGTTTCGGGTCATTGTCATGCTGGAAGACCCATCCATGCTCCATCTTCAGTGTTCTGGCTGAAGGAGGGAAGGAGGTTCTCATCCAAGATTTTACAGAACATGGCCCCGTCCATTTGCCCCTCAATGCGGTGAAGTCGTCATGTACCCTTAGCAGAAAAACAGCCCCAAAGCATAATGTTTCCACCTCCGTGCTTGACTGTAGGGATGGTGTTCTTGGGGTCATAGTCAGCATTTCTCTCCCTCCAAACACGGCGAGTCGAGTTAATGCCAAAGAGCTAAATTTTAGTCTCATCTGACCACAGCACTTTCTCCCAAGCCTTCTCCGAATCATTTAAATGTTCTTTGGCAAACTTTAAACGGGCCTGTACATGTGCCTTCTTGAGCAGGGGGACCTTGCAGGCACTGCAGGATTTCAGTCCATCGCGGCGTAGTGTGTTACCAATGTTTTGCTTGGGGCTTGTGGTCCCAACTGCCTTAAGATCATTAACAAGCTCCTCCTGTGTAGTTCGGGGCTGATCCCTCACCTTTCTCATGATCATCCTTACCCCATGAGGCAAGATCTTGCACGAGGCCGATTGATGGTTGTTTTGTATTTCTTCCATTTCCGAATAAATCACACCAACAGATGTCTCCTTCTCACCAAGCTTCTTGCTGATGGTCTTGTAGCCCATTCATTCATGCCTTGTGCAGATCTACAATCTTGTCTCTGACATCCTTTGACAGCTCTTTGGTCTTGCCCATGGTGGTGGGAGAGGTTGGAATGGAAAATACAGATTGTGTGGACAGGTGTCTTATACACCTAACGAGCTGACATTAGGAGTAGCTTCTTAAAGCGACAGGACTAATCTGTGTTCCACATGGGCACATAACCAATCTGTGGGAGCCAGAATTCTTGCTGGTTGGTAGGGGATCAAATACTGATTTCACTCACTGAAATGCAAATCAATTTCTA